ATCGTACTTATTCCCGGCGATTAACGTCACTTTCATAAAGACATTAATTAACAGCGCTTGAAATGTATGTGGAAGAATGAAAAAAGGTTCCCTTTACCCGCCGGCTTTCGAACTCGATGTAAATATACAGGGTGTCTGAAATCTCTCTCGGGATCCGTGGTGTGCAAGTAGTATGGGTGAAATTGCACAGAAAATCCATGTACCATTTTACAAAATTCGCAATAGTTAATGAGGATTTAATTAATCTGTTCGAGCTAATGATCGCACGAGAAACGATAGTATATGGCAATAGTATATGCGCTTTCTAACGCGGTTCCTGGATAAATTAACTCTGTTATGCGTCTATTTCAGCGTGTCAATTACCGTGATAAACAGTTAAATTATCCCATAAAATACCTGTAGGATATTTAATTCGCGATGAGCTGCTGCTCGCACACCGTCACGATTCATTTAGATAAAAAGGATTGCATTTTTTCCGCAATTTTCGGCACAGCTTTCGTTAACTGATATATAATACGCACCGCCGCCGCTTGGTCCTTTTTGATCCTCTGCCTCAGTGAAAAGCGAAAAAAAAATGAAAAAATATCGGCATACGTTAATGAAAGAGAGATAAAAAAATAGATGGGGTTTGGGGAGAGAGACGCTTTGAAAGCTCAATCAAGCGGCGAGTGGTACGCGCGTGAGTTATGAGACACTCAATAGAATCAGCGTAACGTGATTTGTAACTACACGAGCGGGCCGGCGATTTAAATGCTGCTGCAATTTGCGCCGTTGTCAAGATCACCGAGGGCGAGAGAGTGCGTGCGGCGTTTATTTCCAAATAGTACATTGTTGATGAGCGCTCGATCACATGGCGACTTATTTCTCGTAAATATCGAGAGCGCACAACATAAAAAGCGTCGAGCAACGTAGTAGTATCTCGCCAGTATCTTATACTGGCAGACTGTACACGATTCTTACACAGATAGATAAAACGTATATTTTATTATTGTTGTTATCTTAGGACAATTGTATTTTTAGATATTTTAACTTTTCGAGACAATTGCGTGTTTCTCCAACATATCGGGAAAGTCGTATTTCGGAAAACTGTCTTCATATTCAGATAATGACTTTTCGCGAGATTATTCAAGTTTTAACAAGTTTTTTTTTCTCGCGATAACGCACATCTGCTTTTCTCCTCTTTTGGGCATATCGAATACGTGATATATCGTTTCACAAACTAGCGGAATTAATCGCTCGGGATAAAGTTTTACTTACGGACGTTTCTTAGACTGTCGTGCGATTCGGCGCAACGATCCGCCCATCTTTGCGCTATAGCGGCGAGTTCATCGTCCCATATCTGTAACAGCAATTAGTAACTTACATATCGAGTTAATCATAACGCGCGCGCAACGTATCCGCGAAATATTACCGAACAGTAAAACCGACTTTAACTTTGCGCAACCTGCCGTGACCGTCATGTAAATTATCGCTCTTCGCGTACACGAACGAACCAGAGTGCTCTTTAAATAAATGAATATAAATATCCAACATAATACGAACAATTCCCAACGCGCCGCGAAAAACCGAAACCGAGGCAGTCTATCGTTACGTTTAATGTCAAAGTTTACGATGAACTTGATGAGCGTCGATAACGTAAGATGATCCTTAAAATGCTATACTACACATATTGAGTTAATCCTAGAATACTAAATACGTGCGTTTCTGAGATGAAGGTATTTTTTATGAACTTCCCATCTTCTCTGTTTCTCATTCCATCAATTTCTCCTTACCTGACATTTTTGAAAATATATGTGCTACATTAAAAAGTCATTGAATTACCCTTTTTTTAATCATTACTCCAGGACGTAGGATTAGAAGTATAGGCTCGGAATAAAGGATTAGCATTGTAGCGTTAAACATCTTCTCTCTCTCTCTCTCTTTTACAATTCCGAATGGCAGCATTTTTATTATCGAATGAATTTTCATCCGTATCCAGTGAAATTTCAAGAAATGTGGGGATTGATTTACGGTTTTTGTTATCTTTCCTCTCCTTTTCTTTTTTTGCAAAAATTTCCCGAAAACAATGTTTCTTCGGTAAATAAGATAGGCGACGGTGACGACAAGGACGACGACGACGGCTTACCATCTCCATCATGTTCGCCGCGCTGGGCTGACCGTGTATCTGTCCCAGCGCCACTAGTTGCCTCAATCGATTGTGCTCGTTCAAGATAATCTGCTTCTCCTCGCACGATATACTACCGGATCCTGTAAGATGATATGTATCCTCAGCTGCTGCTTCCCGGACAAATATATTTGTCGCCACTGCGCGATATCGTCTATCATTGAGAGCGAGCGCCCTGCGCGTATATTAGAGCTGAACTTTCGGTTCTACATCAATCCTGCGAATTCTCTTGAATTCGAAGAACCAATAGAAAATTTCCAACTACAAGCACTACAACCAAATGGTGAGAAATTGAGAAAAAACTTAACATCGAAGTTGAACAGTTGTGTACTTGGCGATTATTCGGGGGATATTAAGAAGATATTTGCTGTTGACGGATTTCTGGTTTGTCGTTATTGTATACAACCCCGGGTGTTTGAAAATTTTTGGAATTATTAGGACAGATCTTGCCTTGCTTAATGCTGTGTGTTCGGGGCGATTACATTGTCGTACAAACTGTTTTTCCTTAATATCGCTACGTATCATTTACGAACGGGTAATCCGAAAAGTTGACCGGCGATCCCATCCGCTTTGCGTTACGATCGCTCCAACTCGAGGTAAGATTTAAGATTGTAGAACCGCGGCACTATTTTCAGCTCACGGAGGTGAAACGGCGGAATAGGGGGTAGCGGGAAGATCTACGGGTGGGATGTCATTTGATTTCACTTCCAGCTCAGGCGGTCTTTCATCGTGTCGAAACTTTTCGCCTCTTGCTCTCGTNCTCTCTTCCCCCCCCCCCCTCCTCGCTGCCACCATCTCTATCGTTTTCTCGCACCTTTTACTAACCCTCCCTCTCCATTTGCCGTCATGCTGTTCTTTACACGCTGCAGATTGCGCGGCTCGCTCAGGAAACTTTCTATGGAATTTGGTTTAGTGACGTTCCCTCCTTGTCTTTCAGTCGGGCGCATCGGGAACTCTCATTTCGCGAGTTTAACTTCTCATTGGAGCGGAACTGACGGCGCCCCCTCCTTTTGTTCACTTCTGTTACGTCGTTTCTGGCCGAGAGACGCGGACTGGTTGCCGCTAACGATCTATAATCAGGAAGGAACTATTCTCGAGGAAACGCGCGTGCCTTACGGATCTTTGCACGTACTCGCTCCCGCTTGTGGACTTCGTGTTTGTTATCTAACTTTTATAATTCTTACATTGTTTGATTTCGTTTCGTTTTGTTTCTTTTTTTTCTACATGAAACAAACGGACGCCAGGTTGAATTGAACACCACGTCCGGTTTGTGTCAAATTCATGGATGCTGACGCGAACTCGCAAGGGACGTTTGTTGAAAGTGGTTATTTTTAACAAAAAGCGTTTCCCTCTCTTGTGTCTAATAAATGCTTTTTTTTCTATTATTCCCCCCCTTCTCTTTCTCTCTCTCTCTCTCTCTCTCTCAATGTTGCTAGCTAAATGCTACGTGTCACTTTACGCTAACGCGGATGACGTATTTCGTGCGCCTTAAAATGGATCACTCGCATGCGTGGAGCGGCAGTTTAGTTACGTATACATGAGCCATTTTAATTTCCATAGAAGGAGAGAAAAAAGGGGAAGGAAAGGAAAAAGAGGAAAGGTACCACATCTCCCACGCGAGCGGAAACTTTGCGTATAAATTATGCAATTATATCTCCGCGTGTATACTTGGTGTATCTAAGAAATTTACATATTAGCCGAACGAAATTCCGTGAGAGACTCAGGGGACGAGAGACAAGGGGGAGAGCTTAACGATCTGGTCGCGAACGAAACGACAACAGGGCCGTGCTGATCTGCATCGTGAACGGCGCGCTAATTAGCCGAATTATCATCGGCATTATCGCGAGACGCTTACGGAACACCATAGAAATTCTTCCGCAAAGATATCCCAGGGATGTTTCCTCTAATTCGCGATAGGCAGGCTGGGTTTAATCACTTTTCCTCGTGGCGGCAGCCGATCACAGAGAGCGAGAAAGGGCGAGTAATCGCCGCTCACGTTTCCTTTCTCTCTCTCTTTCTTTCGCTGTCGCTGGCTCGCTTGCGCGGTTTTGTGGGTGAAGTAGACGAGGTGGCGAGATCGCAAGTTTTGCATCGGTAATTCGACCGGTTGCTCTCGCTGGGGCGAAGCCCGCCAAAGTTAATTATTACCCGGCGTCACACGAGGGGATGCCCCGGCGACCATCGAGTCTCCTCCGGGTATCCTCGATCTATCTTACCGCCCGAGAACGCATGCGCTCCCGCAGCGTTCCCCCGGTGCGGTCGTCTCTTCGCTTCGTTCTAGCCTGGCAGGTAATGAGGTAAGTGGACGCTGTCGGCTTTAGTCCGGGTTTGCGCGCGCGGACTCGAGCGGCTTGCGCGATGCATCGGAGCGGAGACGCGATCGCTCTCCCTTATCATCCCCCGCTTGACGAAACACAGGATTCGCTCCTGCGAACTTTGCTCTTCCCTGGCTGGCTAATTAATTCATCTTAATTGATTTTTGTTCCTCAGCTCGAGTTAGGCGTTTCATGTTAGCACGTTTCGTGTAACTTTTCATTTCCGCTCTAATTTTCCGCGTCTTTTCCTTTTTACCGATGGGACGGTGGGAAAGTGGTTCTGTTTTTAAGGAACGTTATTACTTTTCAGAAAAATGTTGTTTGAGTAGCAACGCTGAGCGTGGCATTTAAATTTTATAATGTTTCGATATTGCTTCTGACTGTAGATAACTTTTCATTTACGAGAGAAATTCTCGATTCTTCGTATATAACGCGCTATAGTTATATAAGAATACCAGGAAATCATTCATAGAGTGTTTTTATCATTTGATGTGTTCGAGCAAGATTTCGAGGCAGACTGACTGTGTCGAATTCATGACCTTATATTGCCGGTATTCAATTTGGATGCAGGGTTCGTTAGGCTCTCAAACGCACTAATCTAGTTATCAGATCCATACTATATCTAACGGATAGAGCGACATTCTAACGATTTTTCGCGAGTGGGGAGAACTCATAGATCACGTACTTCTCTTCGCTGTAACTTTTCAAATACAACTCACTCGGTCTGTCTGGCTCATGAAACGGTCGAAAGCTTGAATACAAAATCACAAATCTTACTAATTACCAATTTCATGTAGCTCCGAAACTCTCAGCTACTATGATACAAAACATTGATAACTGATATAACGCTAATGTAGATTTGCTGAAGACCGGTGAATAATATTTCCACAGATCGGTGTTTTTTTCGTCTGGAAAACGATCTCGCAAAAGTACGTTTTCGTTGCGCGGCCGAGTCGGGTAGAAACGCGGTCGGCAATTACACGCGACGCGACAATCGTTAACTATTTTCATAGGCGGATTGCGTCAGATTAACGTCGATATTTCCCGTAAGTATAGTCCTCGTTGCCGAGGCTCACTCTAGATCATTATCGGTGATTCGAATTCACGGCAGTCGTCGGCTTCTATTTTCGGCCGCGTAGAGCCGAATACGAATGTCGAATAATTTCGGAAACGTCAAAGGGGGAGACGCTCGCAAATTTATTCCCGAAATCTATTCCTGTTCCGAGCGTGGATGGAGAGAAGGAGAAGTCTCTTCCTCTTTCTCTCGCGATCGCGCGTGCCTGTCTAAAATTCAAATTTATACGACCGGCTCGTTTGTAGGCGCGAAAGTACACGCAGGTGTGCAACATCGCGCGACTCCGATACATTCATTTAAAGAGATGAATTTGATGCTCTGTGCGCCGACGAAATTATCCCGACGGATTACGCAGCCCGGAATCGCACGGCCAGCCTCGGCTGGTCTCTCTCTCACGCGTTTCCACTCTCGGACGGATTAAAATGTGCGTCATGCTTTTTTCCCGCGCTATCGGCACGCGAAATGTGCGATATTAATTTTCAACGGGGAGAGAAGGGCTTGCTCGTTTTGAAAGCACCATTGTGGCAAATGAAACACGTTACTGTAAATATTAATATATAAAAGAAGCGAAGCTTTACACGTCAAAGCGATATCATCCGGATTGATATCAATCCCCGATAAAAGAAAAATGAAAATCTTCCGATTTTAATTTTCTTTTTTTTTATATATCTTTTTTTCAATGTAGTCTCGCTCCCGAACTACGTAGCACATAAGGTATTTGGGAAAATCGCTGAGTCGAAATTTTAGCTCTGTGTTAAACCTGTAATTTTTAGCTCCTATGGCTAATTCTTCCTCTGTCTATTTAAAGCCTATTTTTAAGATAACATTAAAATTAAATCTCTATAATGAAAGGTTTACGAGAGAAGTGTAGTGTCGTTAAAGTAATTTTTCACTAATCTATAGACTATCCGAGTGCGCGCAAATTATCTTTAAGAGCGTCAAAGTAACGCCAAGATTTCAATTTTGGTCCACAACAGTTCGCCGAGAGGAAACGTGGATTCCTCCCTTATGCAGCGACTGCGTTGAAGAAAGTGCAAGCCACTTTATCTAAGAACATCCCGAAGATCCCGAGGACTTTTCGGATTTAACGTCCCATGGCGGGAACGATGATCCGCTGGATGCAAATGCGTTTGGGAGGAAAAGGCTTTCACTTATTCTCCTCGCTACGGAGCATCTCTCACATGGCCGGTCGCGGTAATTGACTCACCTGTTCTTACAAGGCCCGACACGTCCGCTAATGAGCGAATCATTAAAATTGTGTGGGAGGCGGCGTTGTGTCGATCAGCTACAAAGGCGCGCTCGCAACAGGCGACAACGAAGTCTCTTTTTTGCTGCCAATTAAACGTTATTCGACACGCCGCCGTGTATCACTCGTGTTCGTTCTCTCTCGTTTGTTTTCTCGTGTTCTCGCTCGCTCGTCCGTTCGTTCGTTCATTTGGTATCTATTGAAGGAATGAAACAAACTCGACATCCACGCTCGGCTGATGGCCGTCCCCGCTATGACTGAAAACGTCAGTTTCTTTTTGCTCCGGAAATGAGATGGGCTTGGCGCTGAGCGTAACGATGCAATTCGGTCGACACCTGCTAACTCCATTCTACTGTAGCTTGCAGTTAAATGAATTTCGTGGGAAAGGACTCGTGGCTGCACTAAATAAATAGCCTTCAATCGACCATTCCTGTTTAAATCGCTCCATTCAGCCCGACGACTGCTTTTACACGAGACCCTCTCTTTCTTTAAGGTTCGCCTGGCGAATATTAGTTTTACATGGGTATATATTAGTTTTACAGAGTTTGTACAAATTCGCCGTACTGATTTTACATGCCTTCCACGGGGCATAATATGTCTCGAAGCATCGGATGTTTAATTTCCAGAATACCTCGGGACGTGGCAAATAGCGAGATTCTCGAGTGATACGATGAAGCCTCGCGAAGCCGCATGGATGAAAGCATTAGATCTGATTTAATGATTCATGCCTCCTCGACTGTTCGACAGAGTTTCACGAAGTAGTTAATTCAAGTTAATACGTTGATTGCCGATCACATTTCCATATTCAACTGAAATTTGAATCATTAAAGATATTGAAAATAGATGCAGTTTACACGATGCATGTGTCATTAGCACTCTATTGATACTCATAAATTGGAATTGATTCAAGCGAAAAATCAAGTTGTCACCATATATTAATTTAACATTATATCTGTGTACTTTTTAACACATATTTGTGTAATTTTTAGTACATAGTCGGATGTTATAATTATTTATTTATATTATAACCGATAATATAAATGTTAATATCTTATAAAGATATTAATTAATAATAATAATATAATTGCTATTAAAGGAGTTATACAAGGACAGATTTATTAATTGCAGCCATAAAAGTTGACAGTTGCTTTTTTGTTGACGCACTTCAGAACCCAGTCGACGTTCAATGAAAGAACTTGTTTTTAAGAAGTTCCGAGAAGATAGATTTTCTTATCGAATGTCGAATGTATTCCGAAAAAAATAAAACTGTCAACTTTTATGGCAGTAATGACACAAGAAGGATAATCCTTTATTTAGATACAATCTAAGCAAGTTTTCGAAATTAGCCGAAATTTCCGTATTCATAATAATTTATACATAGTATAATGTTAATGAAAATAAAAAGCTGGTTTCTAAAATGGAATAAAACGACTTACGTAGACTCGACACAGGACCTTAAAGGATTAAGAGAGCATCTTCGCGATTTATTCGCCCGCGCCCGATATCGCGCGTCTCAAGGCGAGGCGTTAACGAAATGTCGCACAAAGCCTGAACACAAGTCCAGACCTTCGGCCGCAACTTTTTCTCCCTCCTGGTTCTTCTCTCTCACAGGTATCGTCCTCCTCTCTCCGTCTCTCATTAATTATAAATCGTTGAACCATATCTTTCTCGAGGCTCGCGTTGTAAAGTCGCGTCGCGACGCGGCGGTAAGAATTAATCCGCACGGCGTGCGCGCGCGATTCATACCCCGCCGCGTTCTTATCTGATGAATGTTGTCTGGAGGCTGATGGACGAGCCGGCGTATCGAACTTCTCTCGGTCTCAGATCATCCGAGCCTACTGGAGAGAGATGGACCGGCCCGCGAGGCTGGGTTAACGACATAAAGCCGTGAGGTCGGACAAAGTGGACGACGACTTCAGTTTCTTCCTCCGCCCTTTTCCTCTCTTGTACGGGACCGCTTTTAGATAATAATATGCACGATCCGCCGCGGTGAACTTTAAATCGGGAATCGATTAAAGTGACAACGGTGAATCACACGCGGTCGTGCGAATGAAGTCCTCCCGTGACGTCAGCGACTAATTTAAAGCTGAATTATATTCGTCATAATCGATAATAACATGTAAAATCTGTCATATCACGTGTCAAACGTACGCGTCATGTATCTGTGAAGAAATTATTGTCCCTTGCGTCCACCGAGTGTTCCTTCGTCGCTTGTCGACTGATACTCGTGGACGATTCTTTCTCAGCGACGGGATTGTCATCGTTTGTTGCAATGCTTACTTTTATATTATTCAATAAAATCTTATATCGATGTTCAAGTTTTTGATGGTTTGTGCGGGGTATTTCTTTAGTGTGTGTGTGTATCGAAAAATACATCTTTTTTGGAATAATAACAATAATAAATAAGTACATATAATATATTTCAAAATATTTCGTGAAATTGTTACGAATTGCCATGAATTTATTCGGATTATGACGTTTCGTACAATTGTTTCGCACTTCGAATTTCGTTTGTTTCTCGGGACAAGGTGCGTCTATATTTTTTTATTTATATAGCAATCCTGCTAGAAGAAATTCTCTGATTTTCAATAAAAAATCCTGGCAATTTGTAAATTAACAGAAAGATGTTATTAATTTTATAACATGAAGATATTACTCGATAGAGCTTGAATTTGAAATAGAGTTGTTAAGATATTGCTGAAATTCGAGGAGTCGTCGCACAAACGGCGGACTCGTTACGTGCGCTCATTTCGCACACTACTTTCGACGTTTTGGCAATCTCAGAAAATTATTCGGACATCATACTTACTCAGCACAGACTTCCCGAGGCACGACGGCGCGCAGTGCTCCACCAGGAGACACGCGACAGCCATCAGCACGAGGCTGACGTCCCGCTCGACGGACATCATCGTGACAGAGGTTCCTGCAAATTTCAGAAGCGGTCTTCGTAAGGATGCGGGCGCGGCTTCGTCTCTCGACACGAGCTTACACAGCGACCGCGACCAATCAAGGTCTGTTTGCGGTTGGTCACCTTTAAGCCGCGACGACGACGATGATGAGAACGGAGGCTGATCGAAACGTACGAGCGACTTCAAGTCGTTCACTCCGGCACGTGTTGGAGCGATCAGCTCCCGATTAAATCCGGCCGATTTACGATTGCCGGCGGATACCGGCGTGTAGGGAATCGAAGGAGCGCGCGCGCGCGAACCGGTCGGTGAAGCGAGCCGAACTAATAGCCGGCCACGCCAATTCTCGTGACTTTATATATCGTGCCACCTGTGCCATGGGTGTCCATGTAATTGTTAATGAACCAGTCGGCGGTGTAGTGGGGAGCCGCTGGTCATACGAGAGCAGCAGGGTGACTCTGATTTAGCACATGCGCTGCGCCCAAGGTCGCCGAAGGCTCGCTCTTTCGCGCGTGGTGACCCGAAAAGAGGAAAAACGAAGAGAGAACGAAAGAGAGAGAAAGAAAGAAAAACACCGACGACGGATTTTAATTGCGATCATTTAAGGATTTCGAATCCATAAAGTATAGTGCACTTTTAGCGCTGGATATCGCAGTCGTCGTAGAAGTCGTCGGACGATCATCCGACAAGGTCGTAAAACGAGTGCGGGCGTAGATCGATTAACGTGAATCCAACAGACGAGAGTGACGTAGAAACAATTTACCGGTATGCGTGCACGTGTAACGCGGCAGCTGCGTGTCGACAGGAGCAGCATTGTTCGATCAGCGGGATGTTACGCTGAAAAAAAGAAACAACACTCGAATCGAGTTGAGGGAATTGAATTTCGGGGTTGCGTATGACGAATTAACTGATTTAATCCTAAAATACTGACGTGCCTTTTTAAGATGTAAACATTTCTTCTCCGTTTCTCACTTTACTCAGTTTTCCAATTTGTTTCATATTTTGAAAATATGTTTATGTCCCATTAGAAAACCTTCGAGTCTTCCTTTTTGGATCATTATATGTTATTTGATCACTGTATCTTTAAGATATATGCAGTTAGATAAATTTTTAATAGAATAGAAAGAACATTTATATGATACATGCAACCATGAGTTTCATTTTAATTTCTTTTATTGTTGAATTAAACTGATTGAATTTTGTAATTCAAATTCTTACGTCATATTGCTGATTTGTCTGGATTTTTATTCAATTGGACTCAATCGTAGTTTGCGCAAGAAAATCTATGTAACTCTAAAACCTAACTCTAAAAGTTAGTTCTTTCTATCCGATTCTTTTGTGGACATTTATTTTCATCCGACAGCGACTTTGGAGTTTTTATTCTCGTTGATAAAATACGATTCTTCCTCTTGATGCAGATGACTTCTGTTATTCTCTACGAACGTAATAGACGTAGTGATATCTTGGTAAATTATCGTTTCCATAGAAGAGAAAAGGCTCGGTATATTACGCATCGTGGGATCCCGTGGGTAGAGATCAACGGGTAGACTATCGTCGATCGATAGTCCGACGATGAGATATAAATCCTCGACGATAAGCAGAACTCGCGAGGTGACTCCTCGTTAATTAAGCTCAGCGTGAATCGCCGCGTAACTTTGATTATCGGTTTTCGAACGTCTGCGATCCGACTCGTTCCTCACCGGCTTACTCTCCACTCCAGTATTGCGCTTCTGCAACGATGGATCGAAATCCCGTCCAAGTTCCCGAGAAGTTAATAGCAATTTCTGTGAAACTTTGCACGTAGTTGTCTATCGTTCGTCTAGCCGGTTAGTTCGCCTCCAAGTTAAAGAGGGATGCGTCTTAAACGGCTTGTCGTTGGAGAATTAGGTGATTCGTGAAGTTCTCGAATAGAACGACGGAAAAGAGTTGCTGTTGTTGTTGCGATGTGGATCGAGTGTTGTATAGAGCGGTTTTTTTTTTGTTTCCACCGACTTCTGAGGAATGCCTTTAATCTTCTAGCTGCGGCGCGCTTTAACCGAAAGCCGTTCGAGATATTCGTGTCTCAATCGGTGGAACAAAGTACCAGCCTGAACCAAAACCATGCAATAATTCACAAAATCAGCATTAGCAAAACAACTTCTCCTTGCTCAAACAAATATCATGTTCGTTGAACAAGTGACGATGTGTTACGTTGATAAAATCGTTGAACAAATCGTAACCATCGAATTCATCGCAGCAACCATATAATTTATTCAGTTGGTTAAACGTTCGTTTGAATGAATTTTATCTTTCCAAGCAAAGTATCGATTCCATCACTTTCTGGACTTAATTGGCGATTCATGAAAGCGCATCTCGAAGAGATTCGTAAGATGATCCGGTTGCCCAGCGAAGTTTCGAACAGAGCTACGGTGCTCTCTTCGTATCGCATTTACAATTTCCAAGTGATTTATTTGCGTTAAGCCCGGAACATGTGTTATGCCAAGCGGGTGGCAACCGGTGTGGATTAAAGCCGTGTTCGCCCGCGAACTTTTCCTCTCGAAATAATCTTCGAGATAGACGTGACAGAGTTATAGCGCGGGTGCAACGGGCAGGTCGGCGTGATATTAACCGCGAACTTCCGTCCGAAAATTCTGGCTTATGGTCGGCTTCATATATGTTGTACCATTCGCTAGACAGAGAGATACACGATTTCTAGCCTTATACTTAAAGTTGATACCGAAAGTTACTACGCATAAAGTTGAAAATCGCAGAAGTAATTCTAATTATAATAAAAAGATTGTAATGGCTCTAATTGTAGTAGTTTTTTTTATATACATGAAAGGTTAAAAATTGTGTAATAGTAAAAAGTTTCAATATGAGGCATAGTACAGCATACATGACGTATCACGCGAAAAAGCAATGGTGAATGCTGACTTCTCGGGGTTTGATGCTAATAGAGAAGAAGGAGATTTTATGACCGCCTCCCATTTATTAATTAAAATTATTAATTAAAGTTATTAATTAATGTTGTTTGCAGCATAGTACATGAATTTTTGTCCACATTTATCTAAACTACAAGTATGTGACGGATGGCATGTGTCAAATACCCTGTATAAATCCGCTACTACTATGGAGAGACGGCATGCGTTGAGGATAACCTCGTGCAAGTCCCGATGCTCTTCCATATTGTATTCGCGACGAAGGCACAAAATTGCAAAGGAATTATTTCCACTGCCGTCTAATCAGTCCCTCTTTCGCACCGCTCACGCAGAAGGAACGGGGGGAAGGGGGAAGAGAAGACAGAGAAGAGGGAACACGATTACTTAACTTCAAATAATTAAACCCGTTTATTACGGGGCACAGCGGTCGAAAGTTCGGTTTCTCTCCTACGTTTCCTCAGCCGTCTCGAGCAACTCGGTCAAATTTATATTCCGGGCTGCGCCGAATACTAGAGGAACTGTCGTTAATCTCATTATACCGGCGTCCTCTCCTACCTTCTCTTTACTTTCGCCCCTCCGCTACTCCACACCGTTTACAGCGATGTACAAATGTCGGTCGGTGGTGGTGAACAGCGGAGAGTCTGGGAAATTTATTTTCGTGATAAGGCAATCAGAGCGCTAGCTGAATCCATAACCGGTGAGCGCCACGAGGAATCATTTCGTCGGCGGCTTTATTAGAATGAATCGCGCTGCCATGAAAAATCGAGACATTTCTCTGCTGCTGATTACTACGAATGGTACGCTCGTTGCACGCCCGTCCGTCGGCTCACTCGTTCCGCACCTCGTCGACCTGTCGCCGACTCGCCGACGGCGAACTTACGGAGTAAATTGGGGACAAAGTAGTCGGCTGTCGTCACTGGGATATACTTCCTTTGTGCTCCATCGTTCTGGAGGACGTGCTGCTTTTCTCCTCGCGGATTTGCCACACAACGATTGCAGGAATTCGATGAAACCGTGAACCCTCCTGCGCGTTAGAACGCGAGTCTACGGTCTCGAATCGATAATCGACTAATGACAGTCCTAAGGAAAACAGACTCGGCAGTAGTCTGCGATGCGAATGCGTTACCTTCATTTGTAGTTCGCATTAACAGTTGTTACTCAAAACTTTTTTCACGTCAAGCACTTTCGGATTTCAACTTGGAGAATTAGATGTGAGAGTTTTAGCAATGACTATTAACTCTTTATTGTGCGCAGATTTATGCATGAAATTAAAAGTTTACTTATATAAATATTGTAAAATGAATTCATTAATAAATTTAATTCGAATAATGAATTGAAATAAATCAAGTCAAATGATTAATTATAGTTTTGAAGTGTATGTAATTGTCTTCTTTACGGAAAGAAATAATGTGACGAGTTTTAACCGAACACACGTAAATTTTTCTAAACCAATTTTCCTATATTTGGAAAAAAACCGAGAAAATCCGCGGAAAAATAAAAAAAAACCGTTTTTCTAATTATATAATTAATCCATATAAATTAAGTCAAGTAAATTAATTAAATCGAATTGAGTAAAAAGAATCCACTTGTCAACAGTTGGTTACAGTACGTTACAGTACGTTTGAATTAAATTTAGTGGGATTGTACTCTCGGTTGAGTTAACACGTGTGGGCAGAATGCCAAAATTCTCAAAGCCAACCAAATTGGCACTTGGAGAGCAAAGAATTGATACGAATCTAAATGACATGAGTAGATGAAACGGGACTTTTAGGATCTAAATATCGAGTCAGTCAATAAATTTGGTTTGATTTTTTAATAAAATTTGACTTTATTCTGTGGAAATAAATGATCAATTAATCAAGTGACCGTCATCGTTGTTTGTGATTCTTCGCCAATTTTCAGCATTCAACCAATATTTTTTTTATTTCCTCAGCATACTTATATCGTAGAAGACGGTTTACTATTCATTACTACTTTAAAAATTGGCTGAATAATAAAAATACTGAATAATAAATATAAATCGTGGCTGATAGTCGAGGCAGTAGACATGGCTATTTTTAACCTTTTTTTAGAGAGAAATTCATT